GATAGTTAAGAATCAGCCTCTAAGGCCCAGCAAAACCTGTTAACTAGCTATTTAGCATGCTTCCTTCCAGGGCCATGTCCCCACCTACACAGCTTAGACACAGTCACTTAGGGCCTTCACCTCTTTTCCACAGTGGCGCTACACCATGAAAAAGCCACTGCTTCTAGCATTCACACAGCAACTGCAGGCTATCCTCTAGGCTAGGTGCTCTGCCCAGGCCTGAGGAGGTCCAGTGGGGATGAGGATCAGCTGGTCTGGCTGTCACAGACCCACCACACTGCGCCCAGCACCCCTGAGGTCGGCTGCAAGCAGGGAACATGAGCGCAACAGGAAGGACTGTGCAGTGTGATAACAGGAAAGTGGCCTTCAGAGGCCCAGAAGGTTGGTTTGGGGAGAAATCTGCATGTCCAATGGGTGCAATATTTTCACTCAGGGACCCTTCTGTCCTACAGGCCTGTGCTTGGCCATGCAGGACATGGAGGTTCTCATAAATAACGCCTGCACGCCAGGTGAGAAAAAGTCAAGATGAGGCAGCAGGCTCAATTAGCTGTTTCTCCCGCAAAGGAAAACAGCAACCAATTCAAAGCCAAACATCACACGACTGAACGTCCCATCTCTCTCCTCTAGACAAAACTCATATGTGGCAGGAACCAACCAGAGTGTAGGACCAGAAGGGCTGGCTTCCTGTTAGGAACTGTCCATACAACCTGGATAATTCCCTTCAAAAACCCACTCTCTTTTCTGTGTGAGATAGTGGAAATGTCTTAAACACAAGTCCGCTTTCGTCTTTACGTAATAAACCACTAAGTCAGCAGTCAACCCATGGACTAGCAGGCGATCCTCAGGGAAACACAGGAGCTTCCCGCAGGGCTGGGAGGTTGCTGGGGAGTGGATGCACTTCAGAGGACTCACATCTGCCACAACCCTCACCAGGAAGCAAAGGACAGTAGAAGTCTCCAAGTGCCCTGCAGACAGAAGCCGGTCTGAAACCCAAGCCGAAGCTGCAGCATGGCATTGGAAGGCATCTGGGCTGTTGAAGGTGCTTGGGTAGTGCCAACACTGACCGTGCTCAGCTGCCAGGTGAAAAGTTGCTGCTTCGAGTCCACCCAGTGGCACCTTAAGAGAAAGGCCTGGAAATCTATTTCCCAAAAGTCAGCCACTGAAAACCTATGGAGGACTTGAAGGCCACAGACCACAGTCTAGAGGACAGCTGGGTCAACTGGCAGAACACAGTTTATGAAGATGATCTTCTCCATCCCAGTCTGGCGAGTAGTGTCTAGGGTCTTAAAAGCTAGCAAGCAGTCATACAAGAAGAAAACTTTGGTCTATTCCTGGAGCAGAGCAGAGTGAAGAAAAGTGAAGACTCATGGAGGCAATTAGCCCTTTTAAAGGCACACGAGCACAGCATCCTCTTATCCGAGACCAGAACTAGATGGTGCCCAGCTACTACTACGGATCACTCTGACCAAGACCACAATAGCAGGTCCTGGTTGGAATGGGTGAACACTGTAGAATAAAATTCAAAGTGAAAAACAGAGACAGACTGGACTTCCTAGTCTAAAAGACACTAGAGGATCCCCTGAGACTGTCACTCTGAGAAAACCTTCTATCTTAAAACTTCAGACATTCCCAAAGGTCACCTTCAAGACTACAAGACAAATACCACCACCCGCAAACAATGCATTCCTCAGAACAATCAACCCTACGTGACCAACAGGACAACAGTTTTGTTTCATAAAACCAAAGATGAGAGAACAGGGAGGGACAGGGAAACCAGATGAATGGAAACAGGGTACCTGGGGAGAAAATGGGGAGAGCGCTGACACACTGGAGGATGGCAACCAATGTCACGAAACAATTTATGTATGAAGAATTGATTGGAAAACTATTTTGTAGGTAAACTTTCACCTAAAGCACAATAAAACAACAAATCCTGTGGAGCACAGAGCTGAAGCCATGAGTTGAAGTCGACTTCAGGGCAACTCGTGTAACATCCCAAGAAGGCAAACATACATCCTTTGGCTACATGTACTGCAGAGCGTTCAGAAGATGAACGGGATGGGAGACCCCACCACGACTGTCCCCCAGTCCCCCTAACACCTACGCCATCTCTCTCTTTGCTGCTCTAACCGTCATCGACACGCCAGCATTTTCTGGATGCAGTATGGCTTTACACGGCACTGAATGCCACATCAACTAATACAGACTGAAAAGGGGGTGCTCTTTCCAGTGCATTTTCCTGCTTATGTTGGGAGACATCTAAGAATGTGGAGCTGTAGATGATCTACCAATTCGACTGAAATCCATTGAGAGAAGCTACTGGAAGGCAGTTCCATTTGGAAGGCCAAATACCATTAAAAGGAACACTGGTTTTATACTGAATCTCAGAGTGATGGTAATGAATTTCTTTGTTACGCTTCTCCAATCTCTTTCCTCAGGATGTTGGTTGACACGTATATTTACCACACAAAGAAGTCGCACGATAGGAAACACCACCTACCTGGACTCTAAGTCCTCAATGAGCCTCAACCACAATGCACACTTTGAATTCACAGATGTGTGAGTCATCTTTTAATCAGAGTTCTAATGGGTTCATAAGGAGAGTGGCAAGCTCCAATTACTACAGCAAGTGGCACAGACTAATCCCCAGAGACATGGTTCCCTGGGGGACATGGTTGCTTCTCATGGATGCAGGAGGACAGGCAAGTGAACACCAGGCAGAGCTGTCATGCTGTCGTCCTGCAGGGAGCCCATGCATAGTGACAGCTGGGCTCAAGTGTACTTCTTAAGGTCATCACACTGTCTCACTGTGGCCAGCCTATATCTGGGCACAGGTCCCACCTCCTCGTATCATCAGGCTGCCCCTGTGGGGAGCCCATGTGTGGGGACACCTAGGCACAGATGCACCTCTTGACACAGGTAGAACCAGAGAGGGCATTCAAGGCCACTGTGCAGAGAAATTTTCTCTCTAACAATCAGAAGTCATCCCCAAAGTAGATGCTGCAAAGGGTCCACTAACTCTACGCAATACACTCCAAGTACCAGCTGGTGCAGGCTGGTCCCTCTGGCTATCTCTAGAGCCTGCATTTTGTAGAGAAATAAAGGACAAGAAGAGTAAGAAGATGAGGCAAGAAGCAGGGGGCAGATGGAACTGGAGGGATAGAAGGGCCTAATGGCTTGGCCCGACCCTCCCCCCTCCCCTCCCCCCATTCAGCTGTGGGAGGAGCTCCTGAGTTATGAGGGCCTCTGATGGTAGAGCCTGCTGTGTGGTCCAGACTAAGTGTCTGACCTGGCACTTTCTCCCTTCCACTGTGGGAGAGTCTGGGGGCCACTCCATACAGGCAAGCAAGCCAAGAGCTTCCTCAGACCCCCCAACCGGAACTAGCCAACTAACTAACTAGCTTGCCCTTTGGGTGGGGGTGGTAACACCAGCAGCATCCTCAGTGAGCTGAAAATAAAACCTGGGTCCAGAGAGTATCTGTGAAAGACCAAAAACCAAACTAAACTCACTGCCGTCAAGTTGGTCCCAACCCATAGTGACCCCTCCTTGGGTTTCTGAGGTGGTATCTCTACAGAAGAAGATGGCCCAGTCTTCCTTGTGTAGTGATACCTACCGCCTCGGAAAGCCAAGGAGGGGCTGCTAGGAGTAGGGTCCAACTCGACGGCAGTGAATATGGTTATCCTGAAAGAGGACACTGATTATCTGTAGGTGGGCTGCCTCACCATTGGCCTGTTGGTTTTGTGCTCGTAACTGGTGTTTTGTTGTCTCCGTCCTTCCGTGTGTCCTGACAACTCAGACAGCTCTATTACCTGATTGCAATATGGTACCTCTGGCCTGCATGAAAATCCAAACTTTTTATTTTACATTAAGGAAAGAATGATGCTTTTGCCACATAGCAATACTTCTTCAAGCTTGCTGCTTCAACGGTCATTCCCAAACACCCAACTACAGACATCACTCTTTTATGTTCTCCCTTACATTGGGCCCACAATCACCCACAAACTGAACATTTTATATCTTTGATGTAGCTAAATAAGGTTAAACAAAGGTATACGGGTTACTTTCAAAATTACATAATGGAAGACAGCTGCTAAGTTGTATACCTTTCAAAAATCACAAAAGTTAAGCAAAGAAAAGAATTTGCCCCCAAGGAGCACTGGCACGTGCTAGTTTACTGAATGGTCTGCAGCACATCCACACAAGAGCGTGAAATCCTAGAGCCATCTCCGCCCATCGACTCTGCTATAGGGCACTGTCCCTTCAGCACCTATGACACGCCTGTGGCCACACCTACATTTCAGACATGCCATCCATGGGAAGATATTCAAGCACTGTCTTTCAGGAGGCTCAGATGGAGGCAGTAGGAATGGGAAGAATGAAAAGCAAGGAAAACAATCCAGAGACAAGGCCAAACCTCCCCACTATTGTGCAAAACACACACTGCGATACACAGGATGCTACGACACTTTCATGCTTACAACGATTTCTTTCTAGATGCTGGCTGGGGTTACTGGTGGTTCAGGGGGAGCATCTGAGCCATCCATGCAGAAGAGCTGGGTTCAGTTCCCACCAACACCCCACACACACTGCTGCCACCCGTCTGTCGGTGGAGGCTGGTGTGTCGCTGTGGTGCTTGGCATGTTTCGGTGGAGCTTCCAAACTCAGACAGACTAGGAATAAAGGCCTAGCAAGCTACTCCCAAAAGCCAGCCACTGAAAACTATGTGATCACAGTGGTCTTGTCTGCACCCCATCGTGGGTACAGTGCAGAGTGCAGGCCTGGGCAGCATTTCACCCCACTGTGTGCGGGTGAAATGTGTTGGGCCAACCAGATGACAGCTAACAGCAGCAGAGACACAGGTTTTCTAAGTCAGGTGGGTGTGGAAATCTTTGCCATGCAATCCTGCAGGTTTGCTCTCCCCTGCAAACCAGGCCTTGGGTCTGCAGGGACATCGCCACAGGCCAGGCCTGGGGGACTACACCGCTCTCCCGGAACCTACCGAGATGCTCTCCTCCCGCCGATACTGCTTCCAGTTCCTGCCACTGTCGCTGAACATCAGCAGGTAGCCAGTCACCCAGTTGGAGCTGCCATACCCACCCTGGGTGGCTACGGCCGTGACCTCCATCTTTTCTCCAAGGTCGACCTGCAGCCACTGGTACTTGTTCGACACAAGCGGAGTCCAGCCCCCTGCTCCTTTGGGGGCAAAAGAAAATGGGAAAGAGGAAAACATGTTAATATCTTTTAAAAGATGTGCAACAGGTGAGAACGCATACCTACACTGCTTTCATGAAAATGTTTCCACAACCTAGAAGAAGTAGCCTCACACCTGTACAAACTAAGGGGAAACAGTGGTGCATAAAATACAGGGCCCGAGTTACTGCGTGCCCCCCTCCACTGGGGCCAGGTGGCTACGGAAGGGCCCAGGGGCTTGGTGAGATGGGTGGCCCTCGTGATTGGCTGGTCACTGTCTCGCCTTTGAAGGCCTGTGCTGGGAAAGAAGAGTCCCTGTAGGGCAGGCGGTTAAACGAAAAAGTTAGACCCCCAAGACCATGGCCCTGGGATACACTTCGGGCCTGGGATAAAACTCTCTCCCACAGGCTGGCTCTCAGCCCAACACTAATAAGACTTACATGCTGGAACACTCAACCCATGGCGATGCACCCACCTACTCTATGGAGATACACCCCTTGGAGCAATCGGCCATGGGGCACCAGAGGGGCAACACTCACAGGGAGGGAAAGCTGGACAGACAGGAAGGGCATGGGGTTGGGGTGGGGGGTCACAGGGAAGGGGAAGGAGGAGAGCGGGGGGGTTGGGGATGGTAACTGGGGAGTGAAACCAAATGTACACGAACTGTTGAATGCAAAACAAATTCTCTGTAAATTCGCACCTGAAGCATAATAATAATAATACTAAAGTTAGAGGCCCAAGTTTACCCCCAAGGCACCTTGGAAGAAAGGTCTGGAATCCACTTCTACAAAACCAGCACCTGACAGCTCCGTGAAGCCTGGTTCTACTGACACACCTGGAGCTGCTAGTAGTCCGATCAACTCCGTGGCAACTGGTTTACCCAACCACACTGCACGGGGAGAAAGCCAGCCTAAGTCAAGGGACAAATGGTATCCTGGCTCAAGTGAAAACCACGTGAATGCTGCAACCTAGTCAATAAAAGTGCTTCTCACAGGGGTGTGTGTAATGGCCAGGGAACTACTGTCATGCATAGACGACTCCCTGGGCAGTTGGGAAGCCGAGGAGCCTGCCTAAGCTGCAGCCTCCAGGAGCTGGGGAAGGATCCCTTCCCACAGACCACAGCCAGGGCACTGCTCTGGGTCTGAAGTGGAAGCTGGAGCCGGCTACACAGGTGTTGGCTTTGCCAGAGGGGCCATTTCCTGGGGGTCTTCTGTGGGATTTCAGGAGCAGGGGGCAGAGTGCTCACAGAGGTGTAAAGTCAAGGAGGCTTCTGCAGGAAGTGGATATGCCTCCGTGAGGCACTACACCTCACACCAGCCAGGCTTCACAGATCTTCACAAAGGAAGTTTCCCTCCGAGATAACTGCACTGTTTCAAATGTAAACCATCCGGCTTTGCCCTTTCCTCTTCACCTAACTGCAGCTTAATTCATCCAGACTCTTTAACGCTCCCCTGGAGAAGGGAGCAGGGTGCCTGAGAAGGAGGGAGCCCCTCGTGGTCCCTGCATCCTTGTGCCAGACAGTGTCAGTCTGCGGATTTACTCTGCCTTCTTTCTGAGGTGTACATGGGGTTTCCTGCTGAGTTCTGTTGGAAACCCTGCCCACCTCGCTGGAAGGCTGGTTTCTTGGAGCTCAGCTCTCTTATCAGCAACACCAGAAGCCAACTCTGTACGGAGCTATGCTTTCCCAGGGTTTACAGTTGGACTTTCGTTTGTTTCACTTTCTTTGAGTTATGGCATTGGCAAAGAATACTAAACATATGGTGGGCTGCCAGACGAACGAACAAATGTCTTGGAAGGACAGACAGAATGCTCTTTAGAGGTGAGGATGGGGAGACTTTGTCTCTTTGGAGAGGACCATTTCCTGCAGAAGGGTATCATATTTGGTAAAGAGAAGAAGGGTCAGTGCTCAAGAGGAAGACCCTCCTCGAGACGGACTGACGCAGCGGCTGCAACGACGGGGTCAAGCAGAGCAAGGATGTGGGGATGGTGCAGGGCCGGGCAGGGCTCCGTCCTGGTGTGCAGAGGTTGCTGTGAGGTGGAACCCCTTCCACAGCATCTAACAGCAGCAATGGAAGGGGAAAACAGGAGGAACAGAAGGAGAAAAAAAAAATGATCCTTCATGCAGAATATCATGAGCCTCCAAGGCAGAACAGGAGCCCTCATCCAAAAAGTGTGTCCCTGAGAAAGAGTGCCCAGCTCAGGGCTCTGAGAGTCCCTGAGCCACACGTGTTCCTAACTAACATGGCCACAACCCAGCTGGAAAGGGGTAGGCATGGCCTGGTCCCTCCCTGGGAGCCCAGGTGATGTGGTGAGAACCTTGGGACAGACAAAGCCTTGTTGGCCAGGTGCCCAGGGACGCATTTGGAGCAGGTAATGTGCTCGTCACCCACCATGGCAGCTCTTCCGACCTGCAGGCTGTATGTCACCTGAGGGGCCTGCATGTCACCCTTGTTCTCCCATGGACACTGATGACAGCACTTCCAACCCAACCCAGGACAGAGACGAACAATCTACACTTATGGGAACCCCAGGATGAGACTCCTCTTACGCCTTACTGTGCAATGCAGCATGCACTTTTTGTTTGAAACACCGGGTTGACAACATGTGCTTTCATTGCTTGTCTGTATTAGAAACAAAACATGGGTGCCCCCACCCCAGCCCACTGGGCAGTTCAGAAATAAGGATAACTGATGGGTGTGTCTGTGTTCATGTTACAGTCTGTGGTGTTCTGCCAGAGGACAAACCTATTCCCTAATGCAGAAAAGAATACACCCCAGAGACCGGGCCCTACCCGCCAGCCCTACTGGGCTTGGAGCAATTATAGGTACTGGAGTAAGGTGTACACAGGCTGGCAGGGAGGCTCCCAGAGCATCTGTCAGTGTATCACACTGGGCTGATGTGAATGTTGCTTCGATGCTGGGAGCTATGCCACTAGAATTTCAAACACCAGCAGGGCCACCTATGTGGACAGGTCTCAGTACTTCTTCCAGAGTGAAACAGACTAGGAGGGGACGACTGGTGATCTAATTTGGAAAATCTTCCAGTGAAAACCCTAGGGGTCACCATGAAACACTGTTGGATATAGACCAGAAGAAGAGTTCCCCAGACAGGAAGGCACTCAAAGTACACCGGGGCAGTTAACAGTGGGCGTGATGCAGGATCAGGCAACATTCTGTCACGGTGTATGCAGGATCGCCATGAGTGGGAGGCAACTCTACTGCAGCTAAGAACAACAGTGTCAGAAGGACACACTGCCAACTCTGCCTTCCCACCCATTCTGGTCCCCTAGTGTCGCTCTGACAGGAATATACCACAAATGGGATGCTCGAAGAAATAGGAGTTTATTCTCTTACAGTTTGGAGGCTTTAAGTCCGAGTTCAAAGTGCTAGCCTCTAGGGGCTGGGTGACAGCCCCTCAACCTTGAGCTTCAGCTCTGCCTCCTGCTCCCAGCCCACTAGAGCTAGAGGCTTTTCTTCACTCAGACAGCTGCTGGCTGCTGAGGCATGTAACTGTGTCTTTGTTCAGCAGCCTGCCATGCTCTGCTGACCTTGGGCCTTTTAATGGACTTGAATTAATGGCCTGCCATGTGGTTTGGTAACATCGGGATTGTGCCTTTTTACTTGTCAACTTTGGGCTTGTCAACCTCAGCAGCCAGCAGACCGTTCCCCAAGGCTTCTTATATACAGGAAGCAGCCCACATCCCTAAGGCAGCTACTCAGCTGCTGCCAGTAGAGTCCACCATGCAGCTGACGACCAGTCTCATCATGCGGAATCCTACATCCAGCTGCCCAGCCACTCAGCCAGGCCCAGTCAAGGTGACACACAGACTCAACCACCACACCACCCAAATAACAGAACTACAGAAAGGCAGGTCCCTCCACCATTCAGCAGAGCGGACAGCTGCTGCTTGCCTGCTCAGTAACTACTCCCCTTTCTTTTGATACCTGGGAGGGCCTCTCACCATTTCTTCACCCAACCCACTGAGGCTAGTGGGGGCAGGAGCCATTTCCTGGAGACTGTGCCAGCACTTGAGGGATGGAGTAGGCATCCAAGCCAGTCTAATGAGACTGGATTCTAGGACAGTGTCAGAAATATCAGTGACAGTTCTCTTACTACATTTTACAAACGAATCCTTTCTTAGGTACATAAACTGTGGTGATTTTCTCTAAGCCTGTAGCTTGACTTTTCATTTTGTTAACAGTGACTCTCAAAGTGAAGCCATTTTCAATTCTGATAAAGTCTAAACTATTATTTTTGTGTCATATAGGAAATCACTGTCTACCTCAAGATCATAAGGGTGTTCTCCTATGTTTTCTTCCAGAAGTTAAATTGCTTTAGCTTTTATATGTAGGACTTTATACCAAAGATATTAAGAACTCTTACAACTCAAAAATTAAACAAGATAAACAATGAATAAATTAACAGGAAGAACCTTAATAGACTTTTATCAGAGAAGCATATGAAAAAATGTTCAACATCAGTAGTTGTCAGGGAAATGCAAATTAAAAGCAAAATGGGATGCCACTGCACATTTACTAAAACATACAAACATAATAGGCTGACACCACCAAGTGTTGGCAAGGATATGGAGCACCTAGAACTCCCCCACATTACCAGTGGGAATGGAAAATGGTACATAATACTTCAGAACACTGGTTAACATTTGTGAAAAGTTAAACACTGATCTTCCATATGACCTACCCATTCCACCCCTAGGAAATCAGTCAAGAGAAATGAAAGCATATGCTCACACACAAAAAAAATATGAGTAAATGCCCATAGCAGCTTGATGTATAGTAGCAAAACATTGAAAAGAGTCTGAATGTTATCAACAAATGGATCAACAAATTACTGTTTACTTATACAAAAGAGAATAAAACAGCAATAAAAAGGGCTAGACTACTGACACCATGACACTGTGGATGGGTGTCCAAGAAAATACACTGAGTGAAAAGCCATTTAAACAAAAGTCTTTCAGAAAAGACAAAGATGATATATGTGAG